CTCGCACTGCTGGATATGGGCACCAGTGACCCCTGTGATCCCGAAAAAAAGAAGCAGGTATAGATAATGGATGGATGGATAGTTGTGGAATTTAGCCGAAAAGGATTACCGTATTTATTCAAGTATAATACGTAAAATTAAATCCATAAAATCATCCATAAAGTTGGGGGGTAGTACTGTACTTGGATAAATGTGGTTTAATTTATGTATTTTAACTGAAATATCAGCTTCATTCACAAAATGCCTGAGTCCGGAAATGAGACMGCGTTGTAAAAAGCAGTTGAAGCGAGYTTACCTCTGACACTCCTCCGTGCTTCAGAGCGAGATAATAACAGATCCAGGCAGGCGACATGATGCRAAAAAAAGGGAGAAAAAAGTATTCCTGCACCTTGGTAATGAAAACAAACTAMYGAYATTAGCGTGTGACCGGGCCGCTGCTGGAACAACAACAAACACATGTTCGTCTGTAATGGCTGCCGTCTACTGGTGTTCTGAAAAGTTTGTGTCCCTGAAAAAAACGTTTCCCCACCAGAGGGGGCGCTCGTGAGTAGGAAGTAATCTGCTTTTCCCCCACAAGATGGCCCAAATCTCATGTGAAGTCTCTGAATTTTGTGTTGGCGCATCGTGAGGAACTATGTGTAAAATGCCAGAATTCATATGATGCTCAAAATCATAGTTTGCTGATATATATTTGTTGTCAAAGTACCTTTTAGTACATATGTTGTTAAAATAAAATAAACAGTCCAATGATCATTTTACTGATATGTATAAAGACGGCAAAGGCTGTAAAATCTTGGTCTGTATGAAATTGGAGGTAGTTCGAGGATTAAATTATTTTTCTTTTTAAGCTCAAAATGGGGGGTTGTATTATGCATGAGATCGTATTATACACGAATAAATACGGTAATATGACAATTATGATGATTGCACTTGCATGTAGCTGGCATGGTCTTGATCCTCCTTTTCTGGCATTCCTCGTACTTCGGTTTTTGTCATTAAACAAGTTTGTAGGGTTAGGGTTAGCATTAGTTGCTTTGCCCTGTCCTCTGCCATTGGGCTCAAATATTWTCTGTTTAAAATCCTTCCACAAAACCTCACCTCTGAAGATCAGAACTTTCCCTTTACAGGAATTGCGAAGGATCCGTCTGAAAAGGTTCAGAACAGCTGCTTGTATGTTTTATGTACATTTCAGCATGCAGTGATATTCCTATGTGCACTTGAAGCTGAACTACATGACTGGATTAGCTCTTTGACAAGCCGTTATTTATGTGTCTGTGGCATTTTAGACAGTGGACAAACATCTGATGAAAGGTGAGGAGGGCAGAGAGAGAGAGAGAGAGAGAGCGAGAGAGAGAGAGAGAGATATGTCTGCATGTTTTGCTTCCCTCCCCCCCAAAGTTAGTTCCTTTTAAATAAATGTGACTCTGTTTCGGAATATTGGACGTTGACCAAAGGCAGTAAAGGCGGACTTGTAGTGGCTCATATGATGTGACWGCAGAAAAAATGAATTTGTTTGTGACATCCACTGCCTACCCCAGTTAACACTACTGTGTATGTGTGTCAAGGACAGAAAGGCAGATGTGGCAGTGGAAGGTGTCAAAGCAGTTTGGAGAGAAAAACAAAGTAAAGAACAAAAAAAGAAAAGAAAACGATTAATCGATTATTAAATTAGTCATMGATTATTTTAGTTGTCGATTAATCGTTGCAGCCCTAGTTTCTTTATTTGGGGAAAAAATAACTAAAACACAAAACAAAAATAAGAGTTTTTGTGCATTTTCAAGTATTTCATACAAAACAAACTTTAAACGTCCATCCATCCATCCATCCATCCATCCATCCATCCATCCATCCACCCATCTGTTCAGTAAATGTTTTCTCGCAAAGCTTATTCCTTTTTTGTTTGCGCACACATAAGAATATTTAGAACATAGAATTTAATCAACCAGTAGATTGAATCTACTGTTTTCATGTAAACAAACCAGCTTATATAAAAGCAGCATTGTTTAACTTTCTAATAATGTCCTTTTATCTCCAAATCTCCTCTACAGCCGTCGGGGCCTCTGATGATGAGCTGGCATAGTAAAAACAAAAACATGTTGTGTATTTTATCATAAAGTCAATGATGAGAATCAGCTGAAGTGGGTTGTTGGGTGTAACGGTGTGTTTTTAGAGGGGGGCAGCTGTGTGACGGGTGCTGCTGGGTACAGTGGAAACAAAAGTTTCTTTGTCAGYGCTCTAGGAGAAGCAGGGTTGGGCGGCCCTCCTCTGCTGAGCTCCAAATGGTAGTCTCCGGGGAGTTTTCCTATAAAAACACACACAAATAGCCTTGTGCCCATGCACATATTCTCTCACACACAACGGGAAACTGAAGGTCTCACTTTTTACCCTCCATCAGTATTGTTAGCCTTGATGTTTAGACTTAATACTAAATAACTGCAAGGTAATACAGATATACCAGATCTGATCGGGTTAGCTGACTACCTGTTAGCAGAAGTATCAGTCATGGTCATTCCAGATGCTACTGGGAACATCTTCAGAAGAWATTTAGAGCAGGGAAGTGGGACAAAGGGGGGAAAAAAGAAGCTCCTGATAAAAGTAGTTACACATTGATCACATGGAGCCCTTGTGGTGTTCAGGAGCTGTCCAAAGTCAAAGGAGACGTTGTGTAATTAACCCGACGTACTCTCACATGTTCTGCTTTTTAAAACGCCTGAATTTGGACATTTCGATCATATGTTCTTTGGCTCGACTGAAATGGTGGATTATCGTTCAGAGATCTCAGTGTCTTGATATCAAGCCACAAAAACAGTGTGTGTTGTGAGACTGGGCGCACTTTGATTTTGATCAGGGTGTTTTTTTAAAAGGCCAAGTTTTGGGGCYAAGTCAAGCAGATTGGGATGTATTTTCTTTTTCAGTGAGATGGCTTACTAAACCACGACATTTGTGAAATTATATATTTTTTCTTATATGTTGCCATTAACAGCAGAGCTTATACTGTGGATGTTTTTCATCACTTCGTCAGCGTTTACAGTTTTCCTGTTTTTACTTTCTTCCATTTGTTTGATTTGTAATCTAACTACTATCCATTCATATATCAAAACATTGAGCTCTATTGCGACTAGAGTGCTACGACTTTGGGTTTTTGTAAGTTTTATACTTTTCAAAACTTAAAAAAAATGTCCYCATTGAAATACATTGATTTGCTTTGATTTATTGATTCAACAGGAAAAGATTACTAAAAATCAAGCCTGACTCAGCATAATTGCTGTTTTACAGCAGGTTCCTGTTCTGCAGCACATAAAACACTCAGAAATACAGCATCACAATCACATCATTATACACCATAGACACAAAGACAAACAAGCATACCAAATTTCAGGAAGGCAGCATTTGCAAAATAGGACGTCTAAATGTGAGCACAACAAAAAATGTCCAGTAGATGGCAGACAAGATTCTTCTTAAAGAGCTGTAGTTTTGAAATGGACTTTATGTTTTGAGGAATGTCATTCCATGCTTTAGTATAAACATAGAAGAAAGACCTCTGGCCCTAACAGTTTTAAAAGTTGGTAATATCAGTTATGATACTCTTCAAATCCTTGGCTGCATCCTTTCGAAGGATGATTATTCCATAGCGATGTGCTAAAGGCTGTCCTAATTCGAAGACTCGTCCAATTACAGCCCATTAATGCRTTCTGCTTTTTGATGGTTTCTGTGTGTCCTTCACAGCACACACTATCCTGCAAGATGCATAGCCGGCTGACCGTGAGATTTTTTTTCTCTTGCAATGGCGGACAAATCAAGAGACTGGCRTACAGTTTTAAATAAAAATGTAAAGTTTAAAGCAGTGTTCTTAGGCTTTTGTCATTWGCATAGACGTGATTTTAATTTAGAATTATTACTAGAAAAAATTACAGCCATCCATCGAATATATTATTTTATGATTTGAAATTATTAAAATTTTATGATTTGGTCGATTATAATATTTTACTGTTAATGTACAGAGCTTATAAAGGTGTGTTACCTTCCAACATTCAAGTAAATTTTGTTAAGAGAGCTGTTATTATCTTAAGGGATTTGAAATGTTTGTGAAACCCTGGGTTCGTACGAGCTTGAAGGAGCGATCCACTTCAATCCAGGGAATAAGATTATGGAACAGCATGGATGATGAGGTTAAAAATGCCAAATCCTTGTATATATTGAAGAGAATGATAAAAACTAGTATTCTGAAGAAATATGGAGAATTATAAGTGAATTCATGAAAATTGTTGTTTGAGGTGGCGTCTTAAATTTTAAGTGTTTTAAGTTGTTTTGATTTTTGTTCTATTTTACTTTTATTTTGAACATATTTTGGGTATAAAAAGGGGGCAGATATAAGATTTATTCTTCTKCTGCTGCCTTTCATTTTATTTGATTTTATTTTGATTGCATGCTTTTTGAACTTTGTTCATTTGTGTTACAAATGAAGTGAATAAAGAACTACTACTATTAATTTTTATCATCATCAACGAGCTCGTATGGCAGGTTCTTTAGTTCAAGTACTGCCTCCAAGCTAGTCTTGTGAGTTTATAATATTATAATATAATAATATTTTGCTAATTTCCCTCTATTTTATCATCATCGTTGTTGGGATGCAAAAGGACATTTGTTGGGGTAAGAGAGGGAATAAAGCTGAAGGGTAGACTGTCCAATTTCACACTTTCTTCTGGTCTTCATGGTTGACAAAGGACACATCTCCCRAATTTGGACACAGTCATTTTTCTGAGTGTACTTGCTATAGTTTTGTCTTCTTCTGCTACTTTTAGCTAGTGATTTGATCATTTTAGCCTTTTGCTACAGTTTAGCTATTTCTAGCTTTTAGTTCTGATTTTTGTCATTTAATTACTTTAATTTAATTTACTCAGCAGTTAGCACTCACACTGCTCTGTCACAGAAGATACAGTGTCTTGAGTTTTGTGGTTTTGAACTTGTTGAGTTGACATAACTGTGTCTTATTGTTCCAGGAGTCTGTGTGAAGTGTAAGAAGGCAGTGTATGGATCCAGCCAGGCCTGCCAGGCCATGGGAAGCCTCTACCACGACACCTGCTTCACCTGCAGCGCCTGTAGTAAGTACATGCTGTCACTGTGGGACATTTGCGTCCTCGTCTGAACAGTGTTCACGGCTCACGAAGCGTACATCACCTCCTTAATAACAGGCTTTACTCGTGAATGAAAATGGCACCTTCCTCTCTCGTTTCCTTCCCCCGTGAAAGCACACCATTATTGAGAGATTACTGTTGAGTATYGCTACTGTTTACTTAGTAGGTAGGTGTGCCAGTCATTCCCACAGAAAAGAAACACAAATCGTTTTTTTAAACCTGCCTATGTATTTTTATTTCTAACAAAAACATTTTTAAGATGAATAAATGCAGGATTTGAAGCTCAAAATCACTGGCTTTTTCAAATCACATCCATGCCTAAAAATAAGGTTTGTTGTGTGAAAGTGAGAGTGGCTTGTAGCTTTATGTTACGTTTACACTACAGGCGACGGTGACCCAAGTCGGATTTTTAAAATGCTTTTATTTTTGCATTTCCGTATTGAGCTTTTGATGACAGTCTGAATGTGACAAATCCAGTTTTTGTCTGATCTGACTCAGTTTTTCTTCATTTGTAGTACAAAATCAGATACATATCTGCTTTGCTTTTAAAGCATCATTTCACATTTCATCCAACCTTTACATCAGCGAGGTAGGGGTATATGGATCGATTCAGATATTGATTTTATCAATACCGTCATGCAGTTTAAAGCTTGACACTCAGCTCGTCTTCAGCTACAGAACAGAATTYCYGTAGCTTCTTCTTTTATAAACTTTCTAAATTTGTCATGTCCTGGATGGCTGGGAAATGACACCAACATATGGTACGATTGATGGGATTGAACCTTGGGTTTGTTTCTACTTTTAGTTCATTGTTCTCAATGCTGTTCCTGAAGTGCAATTCTACACCCGAGCAGGCCAAAACTGGCAAGAACAAATGTAAACATTGGTACAGCAGATAATAGTCACCTCCATTTGACAGCTTCAGAATAGATTCACACATGCTAACATGAGTGAATCTGTTCAGGGCAGCACGACGGCTCAGTCGTTAGCACTGACGCCTCACAGCAAGAAGGTCCTGGGTTTGATCCCCACTTCAGACCTGGGGGTGTTTTTTGTGTGGAGTTTGTATGTTSTCYTTGTGTTTCTGTGGGTTTTCTCCGGGTACTCCGGTTTCCTCCCACAAACTAAAAACATTCTCATTAGGTTGCCTTCAGGAATCTTGCAAAAGAGATCTGTGCTCTCAATGGGATTTGCCTGGTTAAATAAAAGTGAGTTAAAAAAAATAACAATGTGTAGCATCCGTATTTACGTGACGTCTGTAATCAAAGCGTGCTGCATGTGACCTCACGCCGTCTTCAGTGAATGTTATTTATTTATTTATTTATTTATTTTACCGTTATTTAACCAGGCAAGTCCTGTTGAGATCACAGATCTCTTTTTCAAGGGAGGCCTGGGCCTGAAGGCAACCTTTTGTACATGTTTTTAGGGGTTCAAGTTCAAACTGTAGCACGGGTACAGCGGGTAAAATAAGTATTGAACACGTCACCATTTTTCTCAATAAATATATTAC